CCCCTTTAGCTAAGTCACTACAACAAGCCTTTTCCTTTGTATGGCGGACAGACTCTTTACTATATCTGGGGACCCAGATCTCTTATGACACTCAGCTTCTATACAACCTTAACTACGGTAAATTATTGACCTCTGTCTCGCATGACTTGCAACAATGGCGCAATCCTCCCTTGACTTGGTTTGGTCGGATAAACATTCTGAAAATGACGATATTGCCACGGATATTGTACTTTTTGTACACCATACGTATTTTATTACCCCAATCTTTTTTCAAACGGCTTTGTAGAGCGTTTTTGACTTTTATTTGGCATGATAGACATCCTAGACTGGCATAAAATATTTTCCAGAGACAAACTGGAACGTGGGGTGGGACTTCCTGATGTTGCCATGTATTACAAGGCTATGACCTTAGTATGCAATCTTAATTGGTGGCACGATACCTTGACGAAACAATGGGTTACCCTGGAGAAGTCAATGGCAGGCAGAAATTTGGCAGGTGCCCCATGGGTTCCGAAGACTTATAGAGGCCTTTCCGACTGGACCTCCCCACTGACATGTACTACCCTGTCAGTTTGGTATAGAATGAATGGGGACTGGGTTATATGCTCCAGAGACTTCCCCGCTGGCACCATTGGGGGCTACCCATGGTTTTCCCCTGGGGAGAACATTAGATTTTTCAGTTCCTGGGGTGCTGATAGGGATTTTTCCTGTGCCAAGCTTGCTCCTGAGGATGTTCCTATACCCCTCCCGCTGTTGCTCTCTAAATATGGAACCTTCCCCTTTGCTACATGGCGACACCGCCAATTGAATGAATTTTTATGTCTTTACTCCCTAGACTTCGTTCCAGACTGACCCTTACAGCGTATGAACGCATGTGTACTGCGCTTCCTGATTCTAGACATTTATTATCCCAAATGTATAAATTGGTGTTAAGTGATTATTCTATATCGACTCCCTATTTTGTGACGGAATGGGAGAAAGAACTGGGCCTTGATTTTTCCCCTCAGGAGGTATATAGGATTTTAAAATGGTACACTCCTCCTCCATCAGTTCCTGTATTCAGGAATCCTCTTATGAATTTCTTATTCGCTGGTATTGGACCCGGTTCCGCTTGGCCCAAACTTTTCCCACCGCTGACCCCCTCTGCTGGAGAGACTGTGGCCATCTAGGTACCTTTCTCTACCTTTGGTGGAATTGCCCTAAAATTGCGCCCTTTTGGGCTGCAATTTTTCCATGGAACAATGCCCTCTTTGTCTACTCTTTCATGTTACCTCAACCCCTATGAAGGCCTACAGACGTAGTGTTATACCCCATCTTCTGAATGCGGCCAGATCTTTGATCTCAAGTTTTGGAAACATTCTGAATGCCCTACACTATCAGATTGGAAACGGGAAGTAGATAAAATAATGGATGCCGAGCGTTGGGTCCATCTGGTTAGAGGTTATGGGGAGAAATTTAAGGATATTTGGCAAGGATGGATGTTTTACTCCTCTGAAATACCAGATGCATGAGCTTTTTTGAATGGGTTTTCTTTGTCAACAGGTTTTTCGAAATGAGGATGACAATATGATAAAAATGACAATGCACTTATCAGAGCTTCACGTGCCATTACCGACAAAGTTAGTAATCTAATAGGTGAAATGTTTTCTAAAACAGAGATGTCAGAGGTACTGACAGAAATTCTGAAGGTTGATCCAAACTTTGAAAAAGATAAGTTCCTCAAAATATGTGAGAAGGATATAATCCCAGACATTTTAGAGGCTATGATCAGAGGTGATCTTGATGTCCTTAAAGACTGGTGTTATGAAGCGCTCGCAGGTATCCCTTAAAGCCATGAATGCAGGATAACATATATGCCTGAAGGGAAGCTCGGAGGAATGAGAGTATGTCTTTCAGAGTAGAGTTGGCCAAAGGCTGGCCTGAGGGAAGCACTGGGAGTTGTGCTGCATAAGGATTCTAAATGGCACTTAGGGCCCACAATTTGTGCCGGTGTCTGCACATGGGTTTTTTTCCTGCTGCTATTTGGCTCCTAATACTTTTATGAACAGCTTTAATAGATGTTTCTGGAAGTCTAGTGCTGTGCTATTCCTTTCTCCCCCTCCCCCCTTTCCCCCCCTCTTCCCCTCTCTTTTCCTTCCCTTTGTTTAAATTACTGGTACTCTAACTGTTCTGATTGTTCGGTTTATGCGCAACTATGATCAAGAAGTCTGTTTACATATGTTGTCATATAGGGGCTCCCTTTGTATTTATGACCTCTTTGCCGGGTTAAAATATGTATGCTGACTTACTGTACTGTGTTGTTTTTTTTATTTCATGTCATTGGAAAATGTTACTAAAGATTGATTAAAGAAAAAAAGAACAATTGCCACACTGTCACCATGGGGTTTATTTACTAAAGGTGGAGAGTGCAAAATCAGGCTCACTTCTGCATACAAATCAATCAGCTTCCAGGTTTTATTGCCAAAGCTTAATTGAACAAGCTGGTTTGGTTTCTATGCAGAAGGGAGACTAATTTTGCACTCTCCAGCTTTAGTAAATTAACCCCATGTGTCCAGTTGCACATTATTTCAAGGGCAATTTCGGAATCGGGGAACTTTTATAACTGTTTGACAGTCTAAATCACGGGTGTCAAACTGGCGGCCCTCCAGCTGTTACCAAACTACAATTAGGCATTGCATGATTGACAGTTACAAGTATAACTCCCAAAGGCAGAGGCATGATGGGACTTGTAGTTTTGCAACAGCTTGAGGGCTGCCAGTTTGACACCCCTGGTCTAAAACATGAACTCCAAAAGGCTTTTCTTTTCCAGAGTGGTATTGGAAGCCTTATCTTCTGAGGAACATGGCTAACTGACATAGTTGATCTCTTTCCTTACTTCTGAGTGTTTTATGGTTCTCCAGACATGAAGACCTTTATATAATATTATTGTCAGTATATACAACTGTAAGGTCTCACTGAACAGCTGTTGGCATGGCAAAGTGGAACTTTAGTCAGTAAGTTCTGCTAGATCACTTCTAACTTGCCCCCTTATGCAGGGTATATCTACCAAAATATTAAAAAGTGCCTATACTGTTTAAAATCAAGTAATAACGCTGTCTCACCCTGCTTTGCAAATGCTCATTTGCTCTCTGTTCTCTCTCTTTCAGCACTGTGGCGAAAATCAGAGCCACTAGAGGCCAATCTGCTGAAAGATTTACTGCTGCTCTGAGCAAAATGGCAGCCTCCACCAAGAAGAAACAGGAACAATGCTGGAGGCAATTTACAGCACACACTCATTTTGGTAGCATAATTAGTAATTGGGAATGTACAGTTGTGTTCAAAATAATAGCAGTCAGACATCACTAACCTGATCAATCACTGTTTTTGGTAGAAATTATATTTCTACATGGCAAATAATTTACTAGCAGGTATACTAGAGTAATAGAAATCCAACAGACCCAACAGTCATGACATGCATGCTGCTGATTCTGTGTAATTGAATCACTAATTGAAAGGGGCATGTTCAAAATAATAGCAGTGAGGAGTTCTATTAGTGAGGTCATTCATTCTTTGAAAAACAGGTGGCAATTATTGCCCCTATTTAAGGAAGGAAGGCAGAAAATGTTGTACATGCTGGTTATAGTGCATTTCTCTCTGAAATTCTGAGAAAAATGGGTCGTTCCAGACATTGTTCAGAAGAACAGCGTACCTTGATTAAAAAGTTGATTGGAGAGGGGAAAACATATAGAGAAGTGCAGAAAATGATAGGCTGCTCAGCTAAAATGATCGCAAATGCTTTAAAATAGCAACCAAAACCTGAAAGACGTGGAAGAAAGCGAAAAACTACCATTCGAATGGATAGAAGAATAGCCAAAATGGGAAGGACTCAGCCAACAATCAGCTCCAGGAAGATCAAAGAAGGTCTAAAGTTACCTGTGAGTACTCTTACAATTAGAAGACGCCTATGTGTAGCCAAGCTATCTGCAAGAAGCCCCCGCAAAGTCCCACTGTTGAAAAAAAGACGTGCTGAAGAGGTTACAATTTGCCAAAGAGCACATTGACTGTCCTAAAGAGAAATGGCGCAACATTTTGTGGACTGATGAAAGTAAGATTGTTCTTTTTGGGTCTAGTGGCTGGAGACAGTTTGTCAGACGACCCCCAAACACTGAATTCAAGCCACAGTATACTGTGAAGACAGTGAAGCATGGTTGCGCAAGTATCATGATATGGGGATGTTTCTCATACTACGGTTTTGGGCCTATTTATCACATACCAGGGATCATGGATCAGTTTGAATACATCAGAATACTTGAAGAGGTCACGCTGACTTATGCTGAAGAGGAAATGCCCTTGAAATGGGTGTTCCAGCAAGACAACGACCCCAAACAAACCAGTAAATGTGCAATATCTTGGTTCCAGACCAACAAGATTGACGTTATGGAGTGGCCAGCCCAATTCCCGGATCTTAATCCAATAGAAAACTTGTGGGGTGGCATCAAAAATTTAGTTTCTGAGGCAAAACCAAGAAATAGAGAAGAACTGTGGAATGTAGTCCAATCATCCTGGGCTGGAATACCTGTTCACAGGTGCCAGAAGTTGGTTGACTCCATGCAACACAGATGTACAGCAGTTCTCAGAAACAGTGCTTATACAACTAAATATTAATTAAGTGATTCAAAGGAAAGCAAAATCTTCAAACATTTTTTAGTTTATATAGTGAATGTTTGAGTTTGTAAAGAAGAATACAAACACTGCTATTTTTTTGAACAGTCTAATATTCACTTTTCTTCAATTTATTTTAGAGGAACAACACAAATTTGATATATTTTTCTTCATGTTTTGATTTGGAATAGAATGTGTAGTGTTCCCAATGCATTTGTGTGTATGGAAATAAAAGCTATTAGAAGGATTTTGAGCTTTATTCACTTTTTTCAACAACTGCTATTATTTTGAACACAACTGTATGTTCCTTGCTAAAGAAAATTACTTTTTATCAAGCTGCTATGAGTAAAAGTTCTACTTTAAAGTTCATTGTGAAGTGGACGACACTCTGGATTTAGTTTTTCTTCTAAGACTCCATCAGGTGCACAGACCCAGGGGTCTGAAGTCTCCCACTGCCATTTCTTCAGCATCCCCTGCATAGTGAGCAATAAGTCATGGTAGTTTGGATCACCAGCCAAGTTTCTTAGCTCTTCAGGATCTTTTGAGCGGTCATACAACTCCCAGTGGTCTCTATAATAATAGCTGTGGAGTGTTTTAAACCAGTTTGTGGGCAGTCCAGACACAGTCCTGTTTAGCAGGTCTTGGTAGGTAGGTGATACATAAAAATCTTGATCAATAGGGAATGGCATCTTAAAGTTCAGGTTATGTACAAGAAGATGTTGTCCGTGCTGGACTGATCTCATTGGATAGTACATGGTAATCTCATGGTGAGACTGGCTGCCAAATGCAGTTGCCCAGGGCTGTTCTGACTCCAGAGCAGGAAGGAGAGATTTTCCACTCAGCTGAACAGGCTTACCAAAGATCTTGTAGTTGGGATACTGAATCGAAAACCAATCTAAAATGGTTGGGGTGATATCTAAACAAGAAGGGAAAAAAGGGGACATTTACTACCCAATTCATTACAAGTATTATGTCTTAATGCACTACTTTTATTGGCATTTACATTTTAAATGTTCAAAACATAAGTCAGAAATGCATGTATGGATTCTCAACCAACTATAGAAATGAAACTTGCTTCTCTTTAATAATAAAGAACTTCAAGCAAATTTCTTTTCCACACAGAGGTGTACTGTATCTATATCCTTTGGTCTCTTGCAGGGCGGTCTTTGAGGGGCAAAATGGGCAGCTGCTGTGGGCCCAGTCATTGCTGTGGGGCCCAAAGCAGCTGCCCCATACTTGCTAACTGTCCCAGTTTACATTGCCTTGTTCCTTTGAATTCTTTTTCTGCGCTGTGTCCCCATATCTCAGTGTGAAGTGCTGTCACTTATGCTGCCCAGCTCTGCCCTATTGTCAGCTACAGATGACTCACCTGTGTAGACCATGTCAGCATTCACATGGAACTAACCAGCATTCAAATGTAAATAGCGGTGGCATTCATATGCAAATAGTATCCCCAATGTGGCCTTCATATGTAAGTAATGGCAGAATTCACATGTATATTATGCCCCCCCTGAGGTTCCAGCCACCATCATCTCTGGTGAATGCTGCCCACTGGAGAGGTAAACAGAGGCATGCTTGAAAGTCCTGCCTGCAACTGTGTTCATTTGAGTGTGTGTGTGTGTGTGTGTGTGTGTGTGTGTGTGTGTGTAAGTGTGTTGTGTGTGTGTGTGAGTGTGTGGTGTGTGGGAGAGGTTTGGGGTGCAGAGTTTAGCACTGAAATATAGGATGCAAACGTACTGACAAAATGGATAAAGATGTACGTCATGTGTAGGACAGCCCATTCATTTGTGGGCTACTGTATGTGCTAGAAATGCAGAAGAAAAGTCCCTGACCCTTTATCAAAATCACACCAAGCCACAGTGCGCCACAGCACTGTCAGTTTTTGTGCATGTAAAACAATGCATATCAGCACATATGTGAGGGTGTCATTAACAATTAATGGCACTGCTGTGTATCTGCTAAAGGGCAGCACATTTCTGTGGTGTCAGGAAAGTGATTTTGCATGAGTTTCCGACGTGCACAATGTGAACATTGGCTAAATGTCTCAATTACATCAGTGGTCAGTGTATATCTTCTCATTACATTGGGGCATGGTGTAGAATCCTTTCATTCACACTAGTTGTCAGAGCCTGGGTCTGAACCTGGGCCTTCTGCGGTGAGTGGCAATGTTTCTTCTTGCTGAGCCACCTGGAATGCTGACAGCTCCCTTGACAATTTGGATGATCCTACCTTGACCAGGTTTGTCATGAACCTTGAACCCCTTGCTCCTCCCACGAACTTCCTGATATAAGCCATGTCTCTGCACTTCCTGTTTGTCAGATTATTGTGCTCTTCAGCCAGTATCTTGCTCCTTGTCTTCTCTATTATCCATATTTTGCTACCACTCGCTATTGACCATTGGCTTGTTCTCAACTATGCTTCTGCCTGATCCCAACCTGCGACTGCTCATTACCGACCTTGGCTTGTTTACTGACCATGCTTCTGTTTGATCCTTACCCGCTTATATGCTACTGGACCTCCGCTCACTCACCTCCTAGTGGGGTGATCCTGAGGACCGTGACCTGGAGCTAACACGCAGCGAAATCCATCTCCACCATCAGGAGCTCTGGTGAACACCGGTTGGTACTCCTCTGTCACAGTGACCTGCCTGTGTACCTATCCTGCTGGTTTCAGGTGAGCCTTTCCACTGCTATAGCAACTGGTCTTTGAGCCTGACCCCTGATTGTGACACTAGTGCTCAGTGTGAATTTCCCCCTTACATTGGTGGTCATTTGTAAATCCCTCCTTACACTGGTGGTTACTGTGAATGCTCTTATTACATTAGTGGTCAGTGTAAATCTCCTTTACATTGGGGTCAGTGGGGAAACTCCCCCTTTATATTGGTAGTCAGTATAAAATCCTAACTTGTATTTGTGGTCAGTGTCGAATCCTCCCTTACAATGGTGGTCCATGTAGAAGCCCCCTTATATTTTAGGGTGGTTAGTGTAAATTCCACCTAACATTGGTATCCAGTGAAGAAATGTATTGGTTGTTGGTGTAAAATCTCCCTTTACATAGATTGTGAGTGCACATTCCCCATTACCTTGGTGGTCAGTGTAAATCCCGTCTTACATTGGTCAACAGTGTAAATCCCCCCTAACATTGGGTCAGTGTAGAAATGTCACCTTTCACCCTCATCTAGCACTGCCACTGATTCCGTCCAACCCAAGCACTGCCACTAATCCCATCCCCCTACCAGAACTGTCACTTATCACATCCCCCCTGCACTGCCACGGATCCCATTCCCCCTACCGCTACCACTGATCCCATCAACCCCCAGCACTGCCACTGATCTGAGAAGTCCTAGGATTCCTAGGGGTTTTCTGTTTGTTGTATTTGTGGGTCCCCTCATTTTCTCATTCCATTGTGTGCAGGCAGTGAGGAGATGATGTGTTGTATCCTTCAGCAACCAATCAGTGAGACGTAATTAAGTGCTGTAGCCTATAGCAACCAATAAGTGGTAATGATGCACAGTAAGCAATAGCAAACAATCAGTGAGCAGTAATAATGTGCAGTGACTTCTAGCAACCAGTGAGCAGTAGTCACCTGCTGTAATCTCTAGAATCCAATCAGTGTGCAATAATGATGTGTAGTACCTCTAGTAACCAATCGGTTAGCAGTAATGATGTGCAGTAACCTCTAGCAACAATCAGTGAACAGTAATGATGTGCAGTAAGCTCTAGCAGCTAATCAGTGAGCGGAAATGATGGGCAGTAATCTCTAGCAACCAATGGGTGAGTGGTAATGATGTGCAGTAACCTCAAGCAACCAATTGATGAGTGGTAATAATGTTCAGTAACCTCTAGAAACATGTGCCCAGTATAAGTGTGCAATAACCTCTAGCAACCATTCAGTGAGCTGTAAGGGGGGGGTCCAGGAAAGTGTTTGCCCAGGGTCCAATCAATATTAAAGACGGCCGTGTTCTCTTGTAATACTAGCAACAAAAGGTAATGCTGGGCATGTACTATCAATTCTCCCATGGTTCTCAGTATATGAACTCTGTATGGAGACATACAGTAGTTCACAATTATGTAGAGACACATTTGCTTTGGACCCTGTTAATATGCAAAAATCACGATTGACGGAACTTTACTAAAGTTCCATCACATTACTCCATACTTTCCCTCTCAGTTTTTCTCTCAACTTATTGTTATATTAATTTCTGCCACATTCCTCTTTTATTGAGTCCCCAGCTGCAATTATATTAAGCACATACATTTTATTTATGTTGATATGATAAGACTTATTCAGAATCCACTATTATTTAAGTACTTCTGCCATATGTGTCCTTTATAACATTGTGATGTGCAGTGAAAATATTTTGTTTTCAATAAATGTGAAATATGACTTGTATATATTAATCAGTGCAAAATTTGTCCCGATTACCAATATCTAGGAAAAGCATCTTACCAAGCAGGCTTGCAAAGGATTCACTGAATTGTCCCCAGCGCTCTGGATGATGAGGAGAAGAGATCAGTAGGGGTTCTGCCCTTCCTGACCAATATAGGTTTGTGCGTCCATTGGGAAATGGGATTCCATTGTCAGAGCTGAATATTACAAGGGTGTCATTCTCACGTCCAGAATTACGTAGCTCAGAGCGGATCAGACCTATTCCTGTAGTGCACAAGTGAGAGATTATTGGCCTCTATTATCAATGTGTTAGTGATGTCAGTTTTACATACAGTGTCTAGACAAAAAGCAAAGAGGAATTAATATTAATATGTTCAATATATTTATTAATTTATCAACTATTAGTGCCATGTTGCTAAGGCCAATTTCAAAACAATATTGCCAGAGCTACAACTTTACCAATGTAAAAGGTGTCAATTAGTATTACACCACTTCTATGAACTGCCTCATTGTCTGACAAATACCCTTAGGTATTAATAAAAGATGCATAAGAAGTTCAGGCAAACTGCATTTCAAAATGCTCAGTAAATCTACTGTATATATGTAGGCAATTGAGTCTATATCAAATTCACTATTTCCCTGTGAGTATGGCCCTTTCTGCCTCCCTATTTGTCCTTTGATGGAGTAGATAGCCTCAATGAACAATTAGGCTATGAAGATGGGATCAAACTCAACATTTACAGGAAAAGTAGAATCTATGTCTGTGTGATGTCTTATCATGTTTACACCAATACCCTGCTCCCAGGGTGATGCCAGAGACTGATCATAGGTTTTGAACACACAGCATCTCTCTGAATTTTTTTTTTTGTATATTAACCACTTGAGCCCCAGAGGATTTACCCCCCTTAATGACCAGGCCTTTTTTTGCTGTTTGGCGCTGCACTAATTCAAATGATAATTGCGCGGTCATGCAATGCTGTACCCAAATCCTTTTCTTCACACAAATAGAGCTTTCTTTTGGTGGTATTTGATCACATGTGCGCTTTTTATTTTCTGCGCTATAAACAAAAAAAACACGAAAATTTTGAATAAAAACCAATATTTTCTACTTTCAGCTATAAAAAAATATATCGTAAACTCAAAGTTAGTCATAAATTTAAGCCAAAATGTATTCTGCTACATGTTTTTGGTAAAAAAAATCCCAATAAGTGTATATTGATTGCTTTGTGTGAAAGTTATAGCGTCTACAAACTATGGTATAGATAATTTGAAATTTACACAGCTTTTACTTTCTGACCGCCCATCACATCTCTTGAGGTGCTAAAATACCAGGATAGAAAAAACGCCCCCAAATGACCCCTTTTTG